CAAAGGGAGCAGGAGGGCGCAAAAGCCCCCATGGCTCACCAAAAGCATCCAGGAGTGTCTCCTAGCCAAAAGGCTCAGGTCCCGTAGCCTCCCCTCATAGGACCTGCCTTGCTGCCCCCTGATCATGCAGGTGGCCCTCCTCTGGACCCTCTCCATGTTGTCCACATCCCTCTTGAAGTGCAGCACCCAGAACTGGACGCAGTACTCCAGCTCCGGCCTGACCAGTGCTGCACAGAGTGGAAGGATCACCTTCTCGGACCTGCTCGTGATGCATCTGTGGATGCATGACAAGGTGCGGTTAGCCTTCCTGACCACGTCCTCACATAGTTGGCCCATGTTCATCTTGGAATCAATAATGACACCAAGATCCTTTTCTGCCTCTGTGCTGATGAGAAGCGAGTTCCCCAGCCTGTAGGTATGTTGCCGGTTCTTCCTCCCCAGGTGCAGCTCCTTGCACTTGTCAGTATAGAATCCCATCCTGTTCTCATCCACCCACCCCTGAAACCTGTCCAGATCTAGTTGCAGCCTGTCCCTCTCCTCCAGCATGCCCACTTCTCCCCACATCTTAGTGTCATCCACGAGTTTGAACAAGGTGCTTTTCACCCCCTTGTCCAAGTCGCTGATGAAGATGTTGAACAGTGCAGGCCCAAAGACCAAGCCCTGGGGGACCCCACTGCCCACATCCCTCCAGGTTGAAAATGACCCATCCACCACCACTCTCTGGGTGCGGCCCTCCAGCCAATTAGCAACCCATCTGACCGTGTAGGCATTGACACCACAGTCGCCTAATTTTTTAATGAGAATGGAATAAGAGAAAATGTCAAAGGCCTTCTGAAAGTCCAGAAAGACTACATCCACCGTGACACCTGCGTCCAAGAATTTTGTGACCTGGTCATAGAAGACCACCAGGTTGGTCTGACAGGACCTGCCTCTAATGAACCCATGTTGATTGCCTCTAAGCATAATCTCCCCTGCTGGCCCCTCGCAGATGTGCACCTGGATAATTTTCTCAAAGAGCTTCCCCAGGACCGAGGTAAGACTAACAGGCCTATAGTTTCCTGGGTCCTCTTTCCCCCCTTTTTTGAAAATGGGGACCACATTGGCCTTTTTCCAGTCCTCTGGCACCACACCAGAGCACCACGAGTGGTTGTAAAGCTGTACCAGGGATCCCACAATGACCTCTGCTAATGCTGGGAGAATATCAGCTTCCTTAAAAAAATAAGCTTCTAGTTCTCATAGTTGTAGGGAGAAGAACCTTAAAACCAGCCCCTGAACATGTTCTAAGGGCCTGGAGAGAAATGGAAAAGGACTCCCAATAGCTCAGTTAAAATATGGCCCACGCCGGGGCTGGAGATGCTGGAGATGTTTGTAACACCCTACGCCCTTCCACATTCTCCCCCAGGACTGCTGTCAAGACAGTGTCAATTCTATGGGGAGACTGTGAGCTTCTAATGAACCACTGCAATGGAAAAAGCTGGTGTCTCCGGGCCCCATGTGTGCCCCCCAGGGCTGTATGTGAGCTGTGTTATGATGACATTAAATATGCAACATTAGGCCTTAGATATTTAGGAGTTGTTTTGCCAATGGCCTTGTAAGCAATCCAGTAAGGAGGGTAAGGGGTGAGGGAGAGGGGGCCCTCTGTGCTGGTATCGAAGTGCAGCCCAGGCAAGGGTCTGCCTACCATGCAAATACAGCAGCTTGCTGATGGATTGAAATAGAACCAAAGAGATCCTGAGTGCATGCCTCTGTCCCAGACTCTACTTGCACATCCACAGAAGCAGGGCTTCCCTGCTACTTCTGAGGACAGCCTGTGCACCCATGCACCAGGACTGTCTATGCCAGAAATGTCTAGCCATGGACGCCCCCACGCATTCCCCATGGGACTACTCCTGTGTCCATCAACATTTTCCCTAGCTCAGTGTGGCTGGAGCTGTGTGAATCTAGGTAGGATGTTCAGCAGTGAGAGCTGGGACTGCCTTAAGTGAGATGCATGGTGGATATTGCACCACAAAAGAGGCACATCTATCAAATAAGAGAGATGCCCCTTTTCATTAACATCCTCTCCAGCCTGTGATCAAAACCCTGTGCCCACCTGAACCTGAGATCATTTTCAACTCAGCCTAGAAATCACCCTGCCTGTGGTAATAGTAAAAGGAGGTTGGTGATTGGAGCTGCAGAGCAATCACAGTTTGCGGTAAAGCTGTGCTGTTAAGTGAATAAGTAAATAAGCCGTTGATTGATAGCTGTTAGTCAAACCTGCCTGCCCTCTCCTGGGATGAGAAGATATAAAGCCCTGGGGTCCTTTCTCTGGCTGCCAGCATTATGTCAGTAGGCTGTGGTTTGGTGTGTTTGTAGATCTATGATTGAGAGCAACTTGGGGTAAGGAATCTGCAGAGGATGGCATCTTTTCCTGGGGTTTATCCTTGAAAGCTATGTGAGAAGGGGGAGCTGTTATGGGAGCTCCTGAGGGTGTGATGCATTTAACTCAGAAGAGGTGCTAGAAGGCTGTAATCCTAAGGGGGAAATGTCTGAGATTTGCTGCTAACAGTGTGACTGAATGTGGTGTAGGTGCAAGGGGCTCTCCCTCAGCTGGGCCTATTAAGCCCTGCTGGGTAGAAAGGAGAGAGCAGGTGCAGCGTAATAGTATGGCAAAGTGGTGTGATGGGAGGGGACGAGTAGGGTATGTGCGGTGCGGGGGAGGCTCATGTCTGGCAGCACCTGGTCTCAAGCCAAGGGCCCGTGAGTTCTGATCCTGGCTTTTAGATGGTTATTTATGCTTTGTATCTCTGTCTCCTCTCTGTAAAATACGGATGATAGTGGCTCCAGTTGTGGGCTGTGAGAGTTGTCTGTAGAAAGACTGCAATTAGGGCCTGGTTTGTAATGGTATTTAGTTGCCTGACTCCTGTTTAGGAACTGAAATCAATGGTCTATCAGGCACCTAAATACCTCTGTGAATCTGGCCCTCAGTTCTAGGGTGCTAGGTGCTGTATGCTTACAGTGAGCCAGCACTTGTAGAGGGCCTTTTAAGAAGTGCAGAAGTGATAAGTAGATCTCTGATGTGTACAGTGTGGCTTGGTTTTGTAAACCACTATTTAAGGAGTTGTAATGATCAAGACTGGGAGGAGCAAGCTTCAAGCATCACAATGTGGACCTGCTACAAAAAATATCAAAATGGCTGAGGGAGCGAGGGGCTGGAGTCAGGTTATCTGGGTGGTGCTCTCCCTGTGCCACCCACATCTGACATGCTGCAGGGTGAAGGTGTCCTTGGAGATGCGCTTAAAAATAAACCTCTTAACTGGCTGCTAGTTCTCAAGTATCAAGACAGCTGCACCCTCACCTACCTGTCCTCCCCCACTGCCCTCATCTTCTGCAGCTGGGAGGAAGGGACAAAGTCTGGAGACCTCTCAGCCCTGGGGAAGTTGGAGGGGGTAACAGAATACAGACCACTGCTTACAAGCTCAGCAGCAACGGGGTCAGCTGGGTGAGAAGGGGTGCCAAGGGAGATTCAGGAGTCATCCACCCTGGTGATCTTCAGAAAGCATCTGGACACCCATCTTGCTGGGGTCAGCTGATCCCAGCAGTCTTACCTGCCCACGCGCAGGGGGGCTGGACCCCATGATCTGCAAGGTCCCTACCAGCCCCTAACAACTATGAAGTCCTCATCTTCTGCGTCACCGCTAGCCCTGGTGCTGCGGCATCCTAGGAACCTCAGCTAGGCGGGCTGAGCTGGGCTGCCTGCTGCCCAGCCCCACAGCCTCAGTTGACTGAGGCTCTCTTGGCAGGATCAGCTTTGCCAAGGTACAAGGAAACAGCCAGGCCCAGGGGTGCCTGTGGGAGGCTGGCCTGGCCCCGGACGGGGTCTCCCACGTAACCAGTGTCCCTGCTCCTGCAGGAGCGCGCGGCGCGTGCAACGCCCTGTGCTCCGGCGGCGGCAGCTGACGCGGG